CAGAATAACCTTGAGATTTGTCTTTGCAAGGATTGCCTTCTTCTTGAATTATTCAATACAGGAAATTGCATATAAATTTGATAGTAGCAAGATATTCTCAGAGTGGGCTGGTTACCTGTTAGGAGCTTGGCATTTTCTCAGCGTTCTCTTGTTAAGTATTGGCAAAATTGATTTTGTCTGCATCAGGGTTTAAGTGTGTTTGATATGTGATTTGAGAACCTGTATATTTGGTCTGTCTGATGAAAGAATTCTTTTGGGAGGAATCATCAAGCTTAATGCAGAAGCAGCCAAAATGGGAATGCTCATTTGCTGCCCTTTAATTCATAATTAAATAAAAAGGATGTCTTAAAAGATTTATTATTGGGTTTTTTTTTTTGAAAGTGTAAAGAAATTTGATGTATTGATTTTCTTGTTTCAGCATTTTTTATGTCTACGTGGAACATTTTTGTTTAAAAATCATACTTCCGTTGTTCGGAAACTCGAGCGATAATGATGCCAAGGAATGGCGTGATCACACAAGGGTTGTACTCTTGCCATAACAAAATCAGGTTTTGACACGAAAAAGTCAAGAAAAAACTACAAGACTGTAACACTTCACAGAAATCAATGCCAGGAAAAAAGTAGTGTCTGACGAAAAAAAGACTTAAAAAATGGATGGTATGTTTTTAGAGTGAGATATTGCAGTCCTAGGTTTCAGATGAGAGAGTCAGGAGGCAGACAGGAACACTGATCAGCTTGCTGTGCCAGACTCAGATGATTGTGGCTTCAGGGGCTCCACAGATGGGGGGTTACGGTCTACTTACTTCCCTTTGTAACCACACGCTGTGCCAATGTCACTGTCAGCATTGGTAGCAGTCAGTTTTGCCATCTGTTACTATTTTCCTGAATATCTGTCATTTGTTACATTTGACAGAAGGGAAGTCTGTTTTTGAAGTGGGTGGGTGAGTGAGTGAGTGAGTGAGTGAGTGAGTGAGTGAGTGTTGCTTAATACTGTGTCAGCAATTTTGCAGCTATTCTCCACAATGTTTTTGAAGTCATATCGTCCTAAATTTGTTTTATGTCTTACGACACTCTTTCACTTTTTAATTATTTTTCAAACATCTAATCACACCTTGTAATATCAAAACAACATACAGATATAAATGATACTGTCTTGTTGCCATGTTGCTCCACAATCCTGTGATGCTAACGTCAGAAGCCATATACAGCTATATAGTCTCTGATAGCATCAAGCACCTTTCATCAGGGACCAAATATCTTAAGTATGGTGAACTTTCATCAAGTGGGGCTGGCAAAGAACCTAAACCATTTTATATGCCATTTATGTTGATATCATTTGCTTCTCCGGTCACTGAAACTATATTGCCCTTTGCAAAGATTTTCTACTTAATCTTACTGATATAAGTCTTATCTTGTACATCGCTAATTCCCGTCACGCGGGAAGCCCTTACAAATGTCTCTACTAGTTGAGGTTACATTAAAGAACTGGTCCTGGATTCACATCAGTCAACATGTGCTTTAGTGGTGATACAAGGGCAGGCACTTCCAGGCTGCAGTCTTCTACTTTTTATATGCATGAGAATGTGAAATAGATTGATGAACATTTGACATGTGACACATGGAATGTGCTATCATCATTAACCAGTCTAATTGCTGGGAAGCTGGGGTTTTTTTCTGCAGAAACATCTGATTTTATTGTGTTTTGGTTTGACATTCTCATCGCTAAGGCTGTGACAAATCAGCTGTTTTATTCTATGTTGCCGTAAGTCTGTACAAGATGTCATTTGGTTTATGCTTGTTTTGAGGAATAATATTGGTGTTCTACCATGTCATTTTAAAATCCTGCATTTAACCTGGTCCACCAGTGTTATCACACCTGAGTTATACCATCATTTTATTGCTTACATGAATGAAACTATGTATTCAGGAACACACCTGCCTGTTTGGCATTTTCCAGTACCGGTATCACTTCACCTGCCGTGGTCCCTGCATTGTTTGTAGTGGCAACATCAAATACTTCAAAGTGTTATGTAATGTTTGGTAGCAACAACACAGGTTTATTGTTGACCCGAGGGGTGGTAGGGTAGCCTAATGGTTAAAGCGCTCGCATATCACACTGAAGATCCAGGTTCGAATCCCTACATGGTACAATGTGTGAAGCCCATTTCTGGTGTCCCTCGTCATGATATTGCTTGAATATTGCTCAAAGCGGCGTAAAACCATACTCACTTAATCCTGTTATCTCAAAGGATGAAAACAATTCAGATGATGCAGAAGATAACAAATATCAGGCTCAAATAGTACATCAATAAATATCATAAATAGAACCCTTCATGTTGCAAATGTAGCAAGAAAACTTGTGGGCACTCTAGATTAATATTATGTTCATTTTAAACATGTACTTTTAATAGTTACAATTCAAATCAAGATGTTTTTACACATTGTCAAATAACTTTGAATTCTTTTTTAATTTGATTTTTCATTGACTTGAAGTCAACGATTTTACTTTCATATTGACAAAATTGTTCAGACACATTTGTAAAGCAAGAACAAAAAGGTATGGTCTTAAATTTGGGATAATTCTAACTTTTTGTATCCTTTATAGACCTCAGCTGATTCTGACATAGAACACTGCAGCTTTCATTTGGCTTTAATTAGTTTTATTCATGTTCAGTTTTTCCTAGCTCTGAAATATAGGGAACTGGAAAAATATATCCATATTCTAATTTGGTTATTGTTTCCCCCCGAGAGTTAAAATAAAATGAATGTACAATCCTAACCTCATATCCTCCCGCTATTGCCTTGTGTTGAAATCCATTTCACCAGAAATACAATATAACGGCCCCACTGGGAGTTAACAATCATACACTCTACAGTTTATGGTAATTGCTGTGCTTGTGGCCACCATGATCAGTACCATGTAAGTTTCAGATGTTAAGTGACACATGAAGGCTTCATGATGGCTCACAATGGAAGGAGCTTGTTGATTTCATGTGTCTGGTCGTTTATTGCAGTTTATCTACGTATATTCAATATTGCAGCTACAAGGAATTCACAGCACATAAAACACTCATTTCCTCCTCCCCAGACGTAAATAAACTCGATTACATGACTGGCTATCATATTTGTTTAATTAAATGTGAAGGGTTTAAAACTGACATCACAAGCCATGCACCAAGTGATTGCCAGATTGCTGAAGTATCAAGTTAGGGATTGGTCATTTACTATAAGGGAGGGTGGGAAGTGGGGAGAAATAGATGGAAAATATAACAAAATGTCAACGAAAAAGGCGATGTTGCCAAAATTTATACTCATTGTATAAGGGGTCATTTATGATAGGGAGGGGTCATGAAAAAATCTGACATAATACGGAGGTCAGCAGAATATGACTCGGTCATAAGAACAAATTCCTCCCATCACCCCTCAAATGAATGACCAGTTCCTTATGGTTCAGATAATCTATTTATCTTTTGAAACTTCAAAGACTGATATATGAAAACATAGATTAATAAAATATAAACAAGGAATTTTGCCATTTATAAATTGCACCTAGAATGACCGATTATCATGTAAAGTATGAGAGGAATTCCATGTAGCATTTTCCTGTGGTGTTCACCGAAATGTTCGGCTTTGATGTACTTGATGCAGTGTATCAGAATTATGGATGTAGAGACATCCTTTCAGATACCAAACTTTTGCAATCAAGTGAGTGCTGTGTAAACTCCAGCCCAAGTGTACTTGGAGATAACTATGTGTGTATACTACTGGAAAAGATTTTGTCCCGAGATACACTGGGGAATTACTTTTGTATTATCAGGTGATACACACATGTACTGCTGAGTGTTTTTACTTTGTAGTTTTTTATCAAATAAAATAATCCTCATGTGAATCTTGTAGCATTTAATGGTATACATTTATTATCCCCCGCAACGCGTTTTGCGGGGAGTATTAAAATGGACTCCGTCCGTCCGTCCGTGCACATTTGTCTTTTCCGGAGCAAAACTCTAAAAGCATTCAATTTTTCTTCACCAAACTTGGCACATACATTGATCTGGTGGTGTACTGGTGCCTTTTGGCAGTTTTGGTATTCTGAATAAAATATTTTTGGCTTTTCCATGGCAACAAGTTCGACTTAGACTGAAATTGGTGGTAGTGCTCTTTTCCAGAGCAGAACTCTAAAAGCATTCAATATTTCTTCACCAAACTTGGCACATAGATAGATCTGGTGGTGTACTGGTGCCTTTTGGCAGTTTTGGAATTCTGAATAAAATATTTTTGGCGTTTCCATGGCAACAAGTTCGACTGAGACTGAAATTGGTGATAGTGCTCCTTTCAATGCTCTCCTTCCACTTTTCTATATACACACCTAAATATTTGACATAATCATAACTCGTAGACATAATCATAAAGAGTATTTTGCCATTGCGGGGGATATTGATGACTTTGTCTTCTTGTTAACATTGGTTTGTTCAGTAAAAATGAGAGATTAATGCATTACTCGTTACCATTTGGTACAATCTCAAGATAACATATTTTAATTATGTGGAAAATTAAGTAAATGTACAAAACTAGTTTTGTTTTCTTCATATATATATATATATATATATATATATATATATATATATATATATATATTGGCACAACATCACAAGCTATGTTGTTATGAGTGTGAGGTTTTGCCCTGAGTCTGTCTACATCCCTTTTCATATAAGCGACAGAGTCATGGGTAGCTCAGTAGTCTATGGTAAGCAATTCAATGAACAGAGTTGTATCCCTTTGCCATGTTAGGATCTGCCTATTAACAATTTGAATCATGCATTACCTCTATTATTGACCTTGGTATCAGCACCAGAACTTACTGGTGTGACAAAAGTGGAAATGAAATATCAATGACCTGTGTCACACTGAGATGAAGTCCATCAGTAAGCAAATATGTCATTCAACTGAAATATTTTTCACTCACTCACTCACTCACTCATGATACACCCCTTGTGTTTCAGTTGCCCCCATGTGCCTCTATCCCAGCTCCCCACTGCCAGTGTCATCATCTGCTTTCACAACGAGGCTGCGTCCGTGTTGCTGAGGACAGTCAGCAGCGTCATCATGAGGTCAACACCATCACTGTTGAAGGAGGTCATACTAGTTGATGACAACAGCACTAAAGGTGAGTGACGACATGTCATGCTTCTTGGATTGTGGTTCCAGTCCATTGCCTTTTGGTGTTTTCATCCTAAAGTGATATTGTTAAGATTAATGGATCAGCCAAACCTTAAATGTTGAACATTTTAAAATATCAATATATTTTTTGTAACTGCTAACTGCAAACATTGACAATAGTACTGTGGCAGATAGTACCTCTGGAACCTTCCAATGAAGATGTCCTGGCAAACACTAACACATCCTTGATTCAGCTGCTGTAGAAGCAGTTGGTGACTCAAGGGGAGTTAGATCTCATTGTCTGATATAATTAGGAATGTTTTCTGATTGGATGCCCACATATTTCCTCAAGACATTTATTCTTGTGATCAAAAGAAATGACCAGGTACATGATTAATGTTACTTTGTTTCCTCCATTTGGCTTCAAAACTTCAAGGATAGTCGATAATGGTAAACCAATTAATTGTTCCTAATTGTCCAGGGCTCCAGATAAGGACCGTATGGGCGTATGTACGGATATATACGGTAGGAAATAATTTAGAAAACGTAGCAGATACACACCACAGCAATGGTGTACGGTCTTGGAATCATTTACAGATATATTTATCTGAAAAAAGTATTGTTTTATTGTCTATTGACCTGTTTACACAAGAGTAGCAATGTTGTGGTCCATATATGAAAAGAAACACAAGATTACTGATACTCCATTAAATTCCATTCAGTACTCTAAATGTACTCTTATTGTCTTCCAGGACTCCTATATTGAAAAAATAAGGAGTATGTACTCCTGATGATGAAATATTATCTGGAGTCCTGTTGTCATCAGACATATATCATCATTTCTAAGGAACGGTAATCAAAGACATCATTCTACATTTAAAACATTTAGGTTGCCTCACGGTTTACTGTAATGGTACTACTAACTGTACTTCCTCAAGGAAAGGTATCTGTTTCTTCATAGTCGGCATCTTTAGATTGCTGGTGTTTTTCACAATTCTGTCATTACCTCCCCTTACCATGGACCTATTGTAATGATTTGATTGCTAAAAATAGTGACTTATATATTGAAAATGAGGGGCGCTGGGGTGGCCTAGTGGTTAAAGCGTTCGCTTATCACTCCGAAGACCAGGGTTCGATTCCCCACATGGGTACAATGTGTGAAGCCCATTTCTGGTGTCCCTGGCCTTGATATTGCTGGAATATTGCTAAAAGTGACGTAAAACCCTACTCACTCACTTACTGTATTAAAAGGCATTTGTATACTCATGCAGCAGACTCATTGTGTAAACATCATAAAACATTGGTCTGATGATTTTAGAAAATTTTTGCTGATATTCTTTAGTGCATAGTTTATGATTCCTGGTCTCTCCAGTGTGTCCCTTCCACAGCTCGTTCTGGGCCTCCTGGGTAGCTGGGGAGCAGTGGTCTCTCAGACAATATCCATTGTTCCAGCTATCACTAGCTGACCCTACTAGCTTGCACTGCAACATGGTGCTTTGATGTAAAATTATTTTCCAAAGTTCTCTCCTAATCTGCACTGAACCATTTGATACAGGGTAGGATGATGCTGATAGCCGACCCATCTGGGAGATGCTCATATGGTATCATCATTGTCATCCGTCTCTGAAGCTACTCACATGGAAAAACTCATATTTGTGATAATGCTGTTGCAGAAACCTGATTTATAAGGGCTGTTCTAATTAACAGAAACAGAAAGTATTCTTGCTATTCCCACAGGGTCCAACTGGCATTTTATCAATCCATGATGTGTACTCATGTCCTCTTACCTGGGGCATGTTGTGAGGGAAACAGTATTCTGTCTGTTTACTTCTTCAGGAACATATCAATCATCTTGAAATAACACCAGCAGATGAGACAATCCCATACCGATATCCTAACAGCAGATCGGAATCAAATGTCCTTCAAACAGATCCTCCTGTGTGTAAGCGTGTGCAGCCATTAGAAGTCTCTCTTTACATCTATAAATCTTATCTTGTGTAAATCTGTCTGATAAAAAATCTATATCACCTCATAAAAAAATTCTTCCGTCTATTTTGAACCCAAGTGATCCCCAGACAGGAAACACTTGTAAAAATATTAGTTTTTGTTGCGGTCTTCTTCCCGTATTTCAACACCCAAGTATCTACAAATAATTCCTCCCCAGATGATCGTTATTTAGTTACTAAAATAATCCCTGCCTGCAAACAAACAATGGTAGTCCTGGGGTGGCAATGAGCAGCTGGCCAAACAAGGAGCAGCATGTTCAGGGGAGGGTCTGGTGGCTGGGTTTGGTGGTCCTTTCCCTCATAAATGCGCTATCTCATCCAACTGGTGCTTGGAAGCTAATTTGTGATACTTTTGATGACCATCAAAACGTGCCTTCAATGGCCTTCAGATCATGGGAGGCTGGTTGACACAGTTGATCATTTGTTTGTTTTCCATCTTGAAGGTCTGAGCTTGTGGATGTCGGTACATTCATCTTTGGTTATGCAGTATAGAGTGTCTTCCTTCCAGGACAACAAATACCCTGGGTCCATTTGTTACCGAAGCTTTGTTTTGAGCCCAGTTTCAATCGCACAATGCTAAATATGGCAGAGCTATCAAATTACTGTCATGAATGAGAGATGCTCCATGCTCATTTTGTGAATAAACAAGAGGACGATGCTGCCATGAAATCATGCTCTGGTGGTCATTGGTTCCAGGGTATTATCATGATTAGAATGGAAATATATTATACTGGCTAATTCAAGAATGGGTCCCATTATTGTCAAGCCATTGTTTTTTTAATCATTTTCTAACCTTCAGACATTTTGTATATGGATTGAAAACTGGGAAAGCAGGATCAACAGGCGGGGAACACATATTTTCCCATCCATGTCTGACCCGAGATGATAAGGTTATCTGGAATATTCAGAATGACCCGTGTTTGTTTAAGCCTGACAATGTTCAGAGGGTCCAATGTTTGGCTTAAATGACTTCTTAAATGGAAAAAGACTAAAAAAATGTCCTCATTATTCTTCCATTTGAGAATATATAAAGAATTGATAAAAGAAAGCTTCCATTATGGCTATCAGGTGAAATAGATTAGCTGGTATATTTCAAAATAATCATTCTCTACTCATACACACCTGTACCAGCAAAAACGGTAAAAATATAAGTAAGGAAGCTCCAGAGCAGCTCCTGAAGTTTTACTATCTATATAGAGAGCCAGATACGGCTGTGAGGAGTATATGCATTCCCACAAATGTGTGATGTCATACTTGGTGGTTAGAGTGTCATACAGACCCTGAAACAAATATATCCAAGAAAGCCCATGTAAGTCTAGAATATGAGGCAAGTCTAGATGACCACTGTTTTGAAACTGAAGAAAGTCTTTGGGCTCCTTTTTGTTATATTTTATGATTATAATTAGGGAACATTTTTTTTGTGCAGTATGTTCATTTCTATAACCAGATGTTAGTCTAACTTTGTGATGGCTTTAATGAATGGGTGAGTGAGTGGGTTTAGTTTTACGCCACTTTTAGCAATATACCAGCAATATCATGGCGGGGGACTTTAATGATGTGGTGGTGGTGGAATTGGGTTTAACGTTGTGCTTGAGAATATTTCGCTCATATGACGATGTGCATGCGTGTGTATGTGTATGTGCGGCTGCTTGTACTAGCCCAGACTGAAGCTGGTTTTATAGTGCTAGCCCACTGTGATACCATGCCGCAGTGAAGCATGAATACCCCACTCAGACACATTATACTGACTCCAAGCCAACCAGTCCTTGATGTACCCATTAATGCCGAGCGCCAGGCAGGGACCAACAAGTACCATATTTTAACGTCTTTTGGTATGACGCAGTCGGGGATCGAACCCACACGACCTTCCGCACTCCGGGCGGACGCTCTAACCACTACACCACGGAGGCAGTTGGGACTTTAATGAATGAGAATGAGACAGTAAAACATTAAGTTCAACTTCATCTACTACAAACAAAAACAGCATGCATTGGCAATATGAACAAAATGCAAACAGAATCTTTAAACTGAGACCATTGTTTTGTTCTTAGCATATTCACGTTACACTTATTTAATTTCTACAGGAGTGGTATTAAGATAAAACTTGTTGGACGTTAAGCAGTTCAACCCAGTAAAATTCAGGTCTAAAGAAGCAAACAAACTTCCAGTTTCGTAGGTCATCCATATGCATTTCATTCCGTGGAAAAGGAACGCTAAAAAAATCGACACGATTAAACAGAACATGTGGAAAGTGCTCTATAACAACAGCATGTGCATCCCACTAAACAGAACAAGACCCCTTGTATACAGACATTTCATATAGCATGTGCTCGGTGTGAAACCTACATGTTATTTTGACAAGTCGTCAATCACGCTTGATGATATTTATCTAAGAATCTATCTGCGATGTCTGCTGGTATTTACACAAGAATAATCTTCCGCCACCCAGAACCATTATGGTATTTATGTGCCATGTTTCTCTGAAATGGCAATGCTAATCCAATTGCTGAAACTGACATGATCTAAGTACACAACCAAGCCTTCTACATCATGGGACCAGCACCATACTGATGAAATTAACGTGCGCTGCTAAATTTTCATTTCCTAATAATTACATCAACCACGACTTAATTTGTTTTATATAGAAAATGGGTTGTAACAGCCTCGGTCTATAACGTGAAGACGGGAGAAATGAGGTGCATCCCGCAAATAATGTATTAAATGAAAATAAACAGCAGTAATGAACAACTCGCAATTACTTTGTCAAAAGATGATTCAATTACAAGAACAACAGGATAAAATAAAGTGCTTCTCTTGGTAAAAATAAACATGGAAGCATGGCAGCTGTCTTCTAAATGAGAAAATGGTACTTGAATAAGTTTGGTTTAGTGAGGGCATTGCAGTTAACTAAGAGAGACCAACATGAATGTGCTTTTTTCTGTAGATTCCTGATTGAGGTCCTGAAAGTTCATTTTTGCTGGGAGAGCAGTATCAATTTTCTGTCTTGTTATTTTTTCAGGGAATTATTTTTAAATAGAATTACAAGGGGGGGGGGGGGGACTGAAAAGTTTTGAACCTATGATTGACTGCATTGATAGAGCTGATTAGTTTTCTACATGGTTCTTATCAGGTCTGTACACTTCTCCCAAAGATGCTAAAGTTCCTGTTCCTGGTACAGAGAGGTGTAGATAGTCCTCTGCGGAGGAAAAGATTTCCTAAGCATTTGCCCAATTCTTGACAGACAGTTTATTCTTCAAGTTTGGGAAGAGATTGAAATCTGATGGCGATTAATCTGGTGGATTTTCATAAACTACAGAGCCACATCAAGAACTAACTTGCTGCATTGTCCTAGTGGGCTGACACATCCTCAGTGCGCCTTTCACAAAGTTTAGCTGGGCAGTTCAGATTTAGTTGCCTCAGCTGATGAGAATAAAACTGGTTGTTAATGGTCTGAGCTTTCAGAAGGTTGTCCACCAGTATGACTGAAGCCATATACTCGACAGCTAATGGAACAGACTTTGCCGTTCTTGGTGGAGGGGATTACTCAGTTAACTCAAGTAGCATCCATGGTGACAAATTGCTAAAACTCACCTTGGTCTGCTGCAAGATACTGTAAATTCCCACTTTCGCCATTTTCATAAACAGAGAATATTAAGTCATTTTGCTGCCTTTATTTTAATTTGGTTCTTATGCAGCCTGTGAACAAAAACAGTATTGTATTTATCATGTGCAAATTGTTAATGGTGTACTATACATCCTCAATACTTAGCCCCGTGCGTTTTTAGCCATCACTAGAAGTGGTGGGATAGCCTAGTGGTTAAAGCATTCGCTCGTCATGCCGGAGACCCAAGATTGATTCCCCACATATGTGAAGCCCTTTTCTGGTGTCCCCCGCCACGATATTGCTGGAATATTGCTAAAAGCAACGTAAAACCACACTCACTCACTCAGCCATCTCTTTATCTTTCTGTGATGACCTTCTCAAAGCATAAATCTGTCTATTCAGCGATAACCTTCCTTAGCAGCGTATACTTATCTCTGTGTGATGACCTCCTCACAGGCCAACAACTGACCACCCTGTGATAATCTCCCACGCTTACACCTTTGTTTGAATCAGTTGCATTTAACTATGCGTATATGTTCTTCTTTAATATTTTTTACATATCACCTCCCCTTAATATATTTTTATTTGACCTATAATGTAATGAACTCCTTTAAAATAAATAACATTTTTAATAAGATTTTGTTTGAACAGATATAAATGTTTAAAACAATTGTTTGTCTTTATGTCACCTCCTTGAGAGCAAACAACATTTTACGGGACCATGTTTAAAAGAAAGTATCTTTTTCTATTACTTTTGGACGGTGGGATAGCCTAGTGGTTAAAGCATTCACTCGTCAAGCTGAAATCCTGGGTTCGATTCCCCACATAGATACAATGCGGGAAGCCAGTTTTTGGTGTCCCCTGCCATGACATTGCTGGAATATTGTTAAAAGCGGCGTAAAACTAAACTCACTTACTCACTCTATGACCTTTCCTCTTAGAAAGGATGCCCTATTTGTCTTAGATGTGTCCTTGAAATGGATGTAGAGACGCCTGAGTTCTTGGACTGTTGCTGCAAACATCTCTGTTTCAACTCCACACATCAAATCCTTCCTGTGGATCGAGTAGAAATGCGTTTGCCCATATCTCCTTTCTCTTCTGATCTCACTCAAATATTGATCTCCCCTTTCATGTTCTGTGAGATTTTTCTGAAAAATGAATGTTTCTCTTCCTGAATACAATCCGGACAAGCAGATGTCTTCATTGTATCTTAGTGCCGTTCCCCATGGAAGCTTTGGCCATAAGATATCATAACACTCAGCATGACAGACAAATCATTTTTTTAATCCTGTTAATAATCTTGAAAAAAATGGGCTATAGAAAGCAGTTGAGTGAGTGGGTGAATGTTATTTTATGCCACAGTTGGACATAGTCCATCTTTGTCATGGCGACGTGTAATTGATTACCTCTTTTTGCTGTGGATGTGTGAAGATATGCTTTGTTTTTGTAAAGGCTTTGGTAAGGCCATGTTTTGTTTCTGTTCTGGGTTTGCTGAGGCCATGTTTTGTTTGTGTACTTTCAGGCAACATTGATGAACTGCTGATGACACTGCAGCAGTGGCCAAAGGTTTCCCTGATTCGGACAGTTGGACGTCAGGGACTTGTGCGTGCTCGCCTCCTTGGTAAGTGGACAACCCATGAGTCATGGCGGAAAGCTCTGAATTTCAATAATGAGCATGTAGCTAGCAGGCAATTTATATCTTGACTAATACGTCGTTAGCGATGCCATATCTAATTATACATTGATCAGCTGGAGATAGATGAATGGCAGCCAATCAGCACTGCAATTGACAAGCTTGTCGATTTCACCTGACACAAAAGGAAGCTACCCGACAGTGAAGTCAAACCTGCCATTGTAATATTGTGACCACCAGTCAAAGAGATAATGACGGAGCATTCAGCTGAGGGGGATTTCGAGATAACTTCACGTCATAGGAATGGGTTGAAATTACGTAGTTTGAACGTAGCGGCAAGAGGAGTAAAAGTTATTAGCATGTGGGGATTTGGGTGTTATTGATTTCCCTTGTTATGGTTGTGAAATAAGCTCTGTTAAACACTGCTGTTCGGTACAACTTTATCGACGAGATTCTCTTACTAAAAATATTCTGATGGAACTGACAGTGAAATTGACGAAGGGTTTATTTCTGTCGATTTTCCTTTCAGCATGACATGACATGTTCGGCCGATTATCTCACTCTCATAACACCCTTGTCGTGGCCAACTTGACGTGACATCTTTCACTGTTGGTTTTATACAACACACCATGGGAGTGAATTGGACAGCTACTTAAATCAGAGCATTTTACGTAACATAGAAAGAAACAGGAGCTGCTTTGATGTTGTATAGCTGAACTTATTTTTTACAGTTTCTGAAGTGTATTGTAATTCTAATTTATTATGAACTTATGTGTAAAATGAAAAAAGACACTTAAAAATCAGAATAAGTAACTCAGATACTTGTAAAAACTTCAGAAATGTCTTTTTTTTATTTATTTCCTGTATCATCATCATCATCATCATCATCATCATCATCATCTAATGATGTTGGTGGGGTGGTGGGATAGCCTAACTGATAAAGGGTTTGCTCGTTATGCTGAAGACTCACATGGTACAATGTGTGAAGCCCATTTCTGGTGTCCCCCGCCACGATATTGCTGAAACATTGCTAAAAGCGGCGTAAAACTAAACTCACTCACTCACTCACTTACTAATGATGTTGGTGGTGATGCAGATGATAATAACTATAGCCCATATACAAATGTTGATGATAATATTTAAAATTGAGGCTGTAATATTGTACCCTAATCCCCTCATCAACTCTGTGTTGCAACTTTGAGTGCATAGTATGAGACTGACTGGAGCCACAGAGAACCATAACACTGGTCAGTGTTCAGATCCGATTACTTGCATTTTGTCTTTAGACGAGCACAGATCTGCATGTGTCAGACTGTTGTTTCTGTATCTTGAACCAAGCAAGGCCACCATTTCATGAGTAGCTTACAAATTTCCACAAAGAAAACTCCAACAAATCTCATGTATTTCAGACATCGAGTACTAACCGTATGTATGACTATTTTATATTCCACTCGTTGATTGTGAAATACGGGACAGCAAGGTCAGACTTCAAGTTGTAAACATGTTTTATGGTTCCCAGATAGAAAGCTGAGTGTCAGTTAAACTGTTTAATTCTGATCTGACATTAAACCTGTGTTGTAAAACCTGACATGAGTTTTATGTATTTGCCGTGTATTTCCATATCAGTGAAGGAACGTCAATTTCAGTTGTACATTTTAGTCGAAGCCGTCACTTTATGGTCCTCCCCTGACAAGCAACTTTCTGTTATTCAAATTAGATTGGAAAAGTTGTGTTCTGTGGATAATCCCTGGCAATATTTCTCATCAACTTCATTTTGGTTAGGCAGCTTAATTTACATAATGTTTGTTTTTATGGCATTATACAAGTGTGACACTTTCCATTCCCTTTAGAAATATGGAGGAATGTTTTGGTGAAGATTAGTGGTGTGTCAATTGATAGGGTGCTTGTCGGAGTATTTGTATGACATGGGTATGGAAGGAGAGACAATCTGTGAGCCTTGAGTGAGAGTGTGTCTATTGATAGGGTGCTAGTCGGAGTATTTGTATGACATGGGTATGGAAGGAAAGACAATCTGTGAGCCTGAAGTGAGAGTGTGTCTATTGATAGGGTGCTAGTCGGAGTATTTGTATGACATGGGTATGGAAGGAGAGACAATCTGTGAGCCTTGAGTGAGAGTGTGTCTATTGATAGGATGCTAGTCGGAGTATTTGTATGACATGGGTATGGAAGGAGAGACTATCTGTGAGCCTGGAGTGAGAGTGTGTCTATTGATAAGATGCTAGTCGGAGTATTTGTATGACATGGGTATGGGAAGGAGAGACAATCTGTGAGCCTGGAGTGAGAGTGTGTCTATTGGGATAGTATGTAGGCAGTGGAGAATGAGACGTGAAGTGAAATTAGGTTTAATGTTGTGTTGAAGATTGTGTTACATTTATGTAACAACATGCATACATGCTGCTTGTAGAGTGAGTGAGTGAGTTTAGTTTGACGCCACACTCAGCAACATTCCAGCTATATGGCAGCTGTCTGTAAATAATCAAGTCTGGACCTGACAATTAAGTGATCAACAGCATGAGCATCGATCTACGTAATTGGGATACGATGACATGTGTCAACCAAGTCAGCGAGCCTGACCAACCGATCCCGTGTCGCCTCTTACGGCAAGCATGGGTTACTGAAGACCAATTCTAACCCGGATCTTCACGGGTCCCACTTGACTGCAAAGACCTTTACTGATATCTTGTGGTTTTCCATGCTCAAAAGACTATCATAGTCATATTGATACTCATTTTGAACTTAGTGAATATTTCTTACCGTAGTACAATTGTCAGTTTTATTTATCATGCTAATTCAACCTCTGATTCAATTTGATGCTTAAATTTGCAATACGGACTTGTGTCGATTCCAAAGTTGTATGTAGGATCTGTATATGTGTAAAAGGATTCCTGCTGAAGTAATTCCCTTGGGCAAAGAACCCACAACCTCTGCATCCACATACCACCACAGATAGAGATTCACAACTGACAGCAAACTTCCATTTACCGGATTATGAGTGTGACCACTTTGCTTCAAATTCTCAAATCCACAAATCTGAAAACATCAATTTAACCTGCAAGTTAACATTGCAAATGTGATTGTACACATGTCTTTTCAAGGTTCCATGTATTTTATTGGGATCAGTATTCTCAAATAACTGAAGGTGAGCTTCAGAACGTTCTCTGCCTGCTTGTTCTTCTCGTTTATGCATGCATTTATTTTTATTTAACAGCTGTAATGTTTCAAAGCATTTACTTGACATTTAAAATTTAAATAAATTTTTCAAATGCAAGAACAAAATTCTCTTGGATCTAACATTTCACAGTTTTCTTTCTAAAGGAAAAAAAGTCATTAAATACTCCTTACCACATCGATTGATTCCCGGTTTTGTTGTGAAAAATGTGAAGCGTCTTGTCAGTGTCAGATTTGAAAATTTATTGCTTTAGTTTTTAATTCCCAGTCAAGTAGGGGCAGACAATACAATCCTGGATCAAATTATATGCAATTATTTCCCAAACAATCTTTAAAATATACTTCTTTTTCATCCGAGTTGAAATGGAATTTAATATGCAGGAACAGTTTTTCAGATAAACTGTCAGTTTTGAAAGATCCTTCTAATTGTAAAAAAATGTAAATTTAGATTTTGGACTAGTTTATTGCCATTCATTTTGCACTAATCAGAGTTTATGAAATAAATAATATTTTAAGTGGATCTAAATAGAATTTATAATGACAAGCTAGACCCTAATACTGGATAGGTTGGCAAGAAGTGTTTTATAATTGCATAACTTTAGCGTGATGCATAGTGGTTTATTTCGATTTTCAGGATGAAGAAATTAGGGGCTTTAGTGAAAGCTGAAATGAATCGAGATTTATGCCTGTGCCCGTCGCTAGGGTTTTTTTTATATGCAAATTAGCAGCGTAAATTGCAACTTTCTTTGTCGTAGTTACCAGCTGCTCTTGACACTGGATTTGTCTCTGATTTTTTTGGTAATAATAGATTTCCTGTAAATTTCAATTTTAAAAAATTCTTTTGTTGCAATTTAATGTCAGCAGAATTTCTTGCTCAACTTCTTAAGAATCATCAGAATTTTGTGTTCCGGTTTCTGCCCTTTGCTTCCATTATTGGTGATGTACATCGGGTTCAAGTAAAGCATCGCTTTGATTTCTGGAATGAATCGCTGTGATTTCATCAAATTGTGAATTATTTATTTATGATTGTTTCATTTTTATTGAAGCTATTTTATAGTCACTGATTTAAATTAGTTTTTGAGTCACTGATTAAATTACCACCGTCAGAGGAATAGAACAAATAATATTATCGCATCTTCCTTTTTGACACATTATCATTAAAAGGTACTTCCAACATAATAATCATTAGCATATTCTAATGATCCTTTTCTTAATCAAAATTGTTTTTTGACTGACACTATAAGAAATCATCACATCGACTTTAGGTATTTGTATGTTGTGATCCTCTTTCTTCATGAAGACATCATTACTATCCACTTGGGATTAAATGGCATAGAATGTCCCAAGTACAGTCATCCATCGCCATAACCCAGGTCTAAGACTATCTGATAATAAAAATGTTATTTGCATATCTGGACTAAGCAATCAAGTTTTTTAATTTTACTCAAAATGTTATTCAATAACGTTTATATTAACTGGTACTTGTCTCAGTATGGAATTTGGTAACTTTGGGAACCTCCCCAAATTTCATATGTCATATGTGTTATCACTGTAATCTAATCACCTATTTAGTAGAACACAGTTGTTTGGTACAGGTGGTCACATCAGCCTTCAGGTGATCATACTGTCCACATTTTAGGACAGGAAAAAGATGAAAGAATATATCAAAAGCTGTTTATAAAAAAGGCCTTACAAGTTTGATTTAATTAACCATACATTTCAACCTGTTGACAGCACAACGCAAATTCCAGACATCCCAGTAAACTAGCACTGTCCTCTGTATCTGAACCCTCTTACCACAGCTACCGTGTAATCATATTATGTGATGTAGTTTAGCTTGTTTTACACATTTACTACCTGTTTCAGGAGCATCCCAGGCTGTTGGACAGGTGTTGGTGTTTCTCGACTCTCACTGTGAGTGCAATGTCAACTGGTTACCTCCCCTGCTCCAGGCCGTCCATCAGGACGCAACCAAGGTGAGCACCAGGGTCACTAGACAAACAACTTGTCTCTGAAATGAACATATTTTTACAGAAAAATATGCCAGTTTATAATAAAAAAAATAAAATATACATAGAGAAACAAATAAAGGAACACAGGAAAATTCAAGGGTTCCTTTATTATTTTTCTAGTTTTCATTACCACAATGCTATTCAAAGCTGGTGATGAAAACTAGAAAATACTGCAAGAACACTTGAATTTTCCTGTGTTCCTTTATTTGTTTCTCTACTTATATAATGAAAGGAGTTGCTTCATTTTCAGAAACTGTGGAAATCTAGACTTGCCACGTATTGATATATTTGTTTCAGGGTCTGTATGACAGACTACAGGGTCACAGTCTTGAAGTATTCTTATAATATTTGAATGTTCTCTAATAAGGCTGGACCAATTCAGGTTACTGTCTATCAGAACAATTTTATAGGAGCATCATGCTCTTGACTCACTCACTCACTCACGCACATTTTAGAACCAATTTCCTCTCTTGGTTCAAAGCATTGCAGCATCTTGCCTGTGTGAAACTGAGATGCTTTGTGGCCATTAACTGGTAGTTTGGAAAATATTTTGGCCCTGGAGACAAAACAGAATCAGAATGCCTTTAATCAGACTCAGTGATTTGTACAAGACTAGTTCCCTTTTAACACTAGAGCTCTGGCCTCAATCAGATTCTTGTACAAACATACCGATTCTTGGGTTGTCTCTTTTATCAAAGAAACTGCATCAATGACAATCAGGGCTTAAGATAAACTGTCTCAGCATTATATCAACACTAATCTTGTACGAAATACATTATCTGCTAGTTCTCTGTTATAATGGGACAGCTAGCCAAGTATTGACTTAGGCTAGAAAGTTTCCAAGATGTTCTGAAGGACTCTCAATGAATCATAATACTGAACACACAATCCTTCCCAACCGACAATGTATCAGCATCATTCAGACATAATATCATGTGAGTTTTTATTAAAGGAACTTTCAGTTGCCTCATGTTACCATGATCAATATATTCAGCCCAAATCTGTCATATTTGTGATGTTTAGTTTTGAAGAAGTGATATTCAAAAGGGCCAAATTACAAAGTTTTATTCAAAAGCCTTTCAAAATGTGAAAATTTCCAAAATGAATGTGTAAATGAAGAGGCATTCACTTCCCATCAGTGTCAAAATCAATAACATGCTAATGATTTCTATACAAGTCAGACTAAAAAAAATATTAAAAAATTCAACATGTTGATTTTTTTGGCAAATAAAAATCATCATTAGATTGTTGTGAGTAATGGTCATATGACTCATGTTTCATTGTGTTACACCCACCGGCACTGGAAGCATCTCTAACAAGGACAGAAAAGGTGTTTTCTCACTCAAATTGGTTGGAACCATTCTTTAATGGGTGAAAGCCAGGATTTTTTCAAAACTTATCCAAAGAATTCTCAAGAAATTCTCATAACATTTTATGCTTTTGACAATGAGAGGCCAAGAATATTATCACAGAATCATATTATGTCTTAAATGTAAGAAATTATTCGATTTTTCATGGAAGGCATGCTTGTCTGACCTTTATTCTCAAATGAACTCATCTTACAGAATTAGCAATTTCCTGCTGCAACAGACTGCTATGAGAGTGATTTAGAATTCCTGCAGATGCCTTTTGCGTTCTCTTATTAGTGTCAAGTTTCTGATTGAACATGGCTTCCTCTCCATGCTGTTTTATAATTTGCTGAGAATGAGAAGAAATATTTGATTTGCATGTCTGTCCTGATGTCTGCTCAATACACAGGACACTTGGAATCAGACTCTCAGAATCAGGAATCAAATGTAGCTGTCACAGCCTCTTTCCTTGCCCTCTGTAACCACTGGTGCAAATCTAGTGGAAATCAAAGCTCAAAAACATTCAGGATATCTGGTTACTTTATCATTATGATCTTTGTCATTACAATCATCATAATTATTTAAAACAGGGTGTTTCTTTAGGAATTATGGCTCCAGAGACATTCTTAAATGCTAAGAGGGTTGTAGAGTAAAGAATGGCCTTCTGGTGTCTTGTTGTAGGGTGATAATTGCCCTGGAGAATTTCCTGGCATTAAAGCAATTTTAGTATTACAATGGCTTAATATGTCGAGGTAGAATTCTTCCCAGAAATAGCCTCTGTTATAGGCCTAAGGTACACACACAACAGTTAAGACACAAAATCCATAATTTAAGTAATCGCAAAATACATCAGTGATAACGATATATAATTAACGTGTACAGTAGAGGTAATGTAATGGACTTTCTTGATTGCTCATTAATCATCATATCATTAGGTATTTTATACCTGGGTGCATTGTATGAAAATTTGAAAGAAAGATTCTTTGATTATTCTTGAATATAGGACACGTAATATATTTATCTTTCACAGCAGGTAATTTGTTTCAATTATTCAGAAAATGAACGATATCCATCAAGAAAATGTTCAAAACTCAACCTACAGGAATATAGCCTGTATACATTGTCAAAAGAAGATAAATGTTAGTTAGCAATACGATGAAGCTGTTTTGTATTTATACTGTACTCTGTAATATGTTCCTGAACAGTTTATGTAAATCGCTATATACTAAATGTAACAAATATTTGTATGTGAACTCAAAATGAAAGCAAAATACATTAAAGCATTATTGAGTCTTATTGAAAAACATTTTCAAACATATTGCACATCATCTCTAAAACAGCTGGGCAGGCTAAGCATGTGCAATTTGGCACAAGTGCATGTCATTTTGTCAAATGATAGTAATCCAATTATTATTTATTTGAAAAAAGAAAGACAAAACAAACAAAACATTTTTGAACACCCTCTTCTCAAAAACGACTGAACCATTTATTGTTAGTCAAATGGGTCTCTGCATCATATCCCAGATTCATAGATATATCAATTTGTCCTTTGGCAATTTGGTTGCATTTTTTTGCCACACTGTAAGAGTAAACATATTTATTTAATGCCAAGAGGAAAGAATAAAACCTAATAACCATTTAGAGACATCCCAGCAAGTGTTTGCAGTTGATTTTAAAATTGGTGTAACTTGAAAGAAATCCTGTGTTCAATGACATGTAAAAGAGCATTAATTTGTTGCAGATAAAATCTGAAGACTCTTTTAAATTAATATTGCATTACATATATAATCAAATAACACATGCATGAGAGCTTCTTTTCACTGCAAATAATTTGATTTATATTGAATTTGTGATTTACTGTCTTGGAGCTTTTGAAGTATATAACTTCTTGTCCTGTAAATCAGGAGAAGATTATTTCACGCTGTCTCTGAAAAAATTCTGTCACTTTGATCACAAAATGCATGCTCCAGTAAACATTAAATAGTTTGCACTAGGAAGTAACTTCATAACATCTTTACGTGACATATGCAGTTAACATGTGAGGGCATCTGTCTGTTAATTATAAAAGCAATACTTCTTGTTTAACCAGGGTAGGGTTGTTTCACTGGGTAATACTGATAGGCAGAAACCATCTTATTCCCTCTGATGTAAGGACTTGCCAAGGTCACAGCAAGAAATTTTCCCCATAATTCACTTCAAACATTGATTTATAAAATATTGGCTAAATAATGACCTGGACAGGCATATTAAACAAATATTGAAGCTTTTATGGTGTCATTTCTGCTCTTTAATTTCTAAATTTGGCACTCAAGACTCCAAACATGTTGCCATTTTATACTAGAAGCTTGGAAGGATAGGGATAGAAAGCCTTAAAGTTCAACCAACAGTAAATTCTTACTTCTCACCAACGCATATGTGATTTACATGTCTCTTGGATGGGATTTACGAATATTTGATAAAACCCACTGTTATGGGTTGTGTATTGATATGCTGGTGGCACCTGTTGGTAATCAGTTTGAATTAATGGTTTTATTTGTAACTGAATATTTATTTATTCTGACCTTATCATGAAATATCTTGACCTATGTTCCTGAGCTCATTTGTTGGAGAGATGAACTGACAATGTATGAAATATGCATAACAGATTGTTGAACCAAAACATGTTCCAAATTATTTGCAGCTGGAAAGCTGAGAGAGAATTAGCTAAATTTGCCAGTGGCGGATGAAATATTCATACATATCACTCCCTACAAGACATTCCCAGCTTGTTAGCAATCTAAGATGGTGGATGTCAGATTATTGGGAAGAAGGCTGGCACAGTCCACTTCCTGAGATAAACGAACATCTAATTAACTCCAGGCTAATTAGGTCCTGTTGAAGGTCAAAGGTGGAGCATTTTCCTGCTGTTGTATGGCACGATCATGATTTGTATTATTAACTTGTTGGACGTAAAAGGCTAAACAGCATGATTGGGCAGTCTGTTGGTTGAGTGGTCAAGACATTGGTGGGCCTTTAGATTGCTTGCAGTTGGCCAGACATTGACATGACCTCACACTGGTCTGATTGGTTAGACAGTGTATTGTCCAAGCTGGTAACACAAGTAGTTTCAGAAAATTGGGAGTTGGCAGGGATGTCTATTTGACCCTGTCTTGTTAATGTCAAAAGTCCAATTCTGAGAAGCCATATGAATAAGTGGTTTTATCCCTTACTAAGGAAGCGGCTTGTAATTAAACTGATTGCAGTGTGGCCTCGGAGTAGCAAACAGCCAAAGATTAAACAAAATCCAGCATCAGAACAAAGCATCATATTTAAAAAGATTTTATTATAAAAATAAAAGAAAGATAATAATGTTTACAGTATACTTTAGAACTGGATGCACAATGTTATCCAACTAACTGATACATACCTAGTGTTAAGATTAATTTACACATTTATAAAAAAATTAAAAGAATTATTTTGGAAAATGTATCTTGGAGAATATTCTTTTGTAGAATTTGAGCATTATTATAACTCTGGCTATGAATCCCAGCAGTCATAAAGTCTACTGAATCTGTACAAGAATGATAAAGGTTTACCCTTTCTCCATTCATATGTTCTTCAACAACTAATTATTGA